AAAAAAAAAAAAAAAAAAACCTTATTTTAATTAGCTGGGTGTGGTGGGGTGTGCCTACAGTACCAGCTACTTGGGAAGCTGAGGTAGAAATATCCTTTGAGCTCAAGAGTTTGAGATGACAAAGAGCTATGATAGTACCATTGCACTCTAGTCTGGGCAACAGAGCAAGACAGTGTCTCAGACATTAAAAAGGAGGGATGAGGTGGGGTGCAGGGAGGGAATAGAACTCGAAAAGGTTTGTTTTTAGTCTGAAATTTAAACAATCAATAATGAAAAACTATGCCACTCAACAAGTGATTTTTAAATAAATAATAGGAAAAATTACTAAACAGATCACTGATTTTGTTAAAAGATACTAACACATATCTGCCTACTGGGACAAAGTGTAAAAATGACAAGATGAGGAAAAGATCCACAGGAGATACAGGCTGGTATATGCATTCAAACACTAGCTATGTGGCTGGTATTATTAGCAACATCCATTAAACCAGGCTGAGTTTAAAGGAGTGAAGAGTTCTTTTGAGAATTCAACACACTGAATATAAAATGTTTAGTATGGCTGCTCATCACTGCTGATGGCTGGTGGCAGCAGTGAAGTAGTATTAATAACAGAAGCTATATTAGGTGTAGGCCAGTACATATTTGGTAAAGAAATGTTAAGTCTCTTAAACCAAAATGTCTTTAAGGCCTCTGTATGGACACTGTTAGAAACCAAATAGCACACCTCTATTTTCTCAAGGAAAATAGAGACTGAGCTGAGGCAAAGCTGTACTAACTGAGACAAACGTTCATCAGGAATGGCAAGTATGATACATGCACTATACGTGACAGAAGTCCGATGCAAACGTACACAAAGAAACTGCTTAAACAAGGTGAATGTTTCCAAAGTGAAGTTATGTTAAACAGACTAGGCAGGCAACAGAAGTCATTAAAACAATAACTCACACTAATAGTTATTTCCTTCTTCACAGGGAAAACATGAATTAAGAGGTAGTATTACATTAAATTGCTGATACTTTAGAAAGAGGAAAGGTATCATGCATGAAAGTAGTATTTCTGGCTCTATTTCCATATACCAAGGAACCACAGTGTTTTAATTTTATTTTATGTTTTATTTTGAGACAGGGTCTTACTCTGTTGCCCAGGCTGGAGTGCAGTGGCATGATCTCAGCTCACTGCAGCCTGCCTCCCGGGTTCAAGTGATTCTCCCACCTCGGCCTCCCAAGTAGCTGGGACTACAGGCACGCACCACCATGCCTGGCTAATTTTTGTGTTTTTTGATAGAGATAGGGTGTCACTATGTTGGCCAGGCTGGTCTTGAACTCCTGACCTCAAGTGATCTGCCCACCTTGGCCTCCCAAAGTGCTGGGGTTACAGATGTGAGCCACCATGCTCAGCCCACCTATTTTTATAAATAAAGTTTTATTAGAAGATAGCTATATATCCACTCATTTATATTTTGTCTATGGTTGCTTTCACACTTCAACAGCAGAGTTGAATAGTCACTACAGATACCATCTGGCCCACAAAACCTAAAATATTTACTATCTGGCTCTTTATGAAAAAAAATGCAGCCGGTTCAGTTTATTTAGTCCGCAGTATGGGATGACATAGTTCACATGTTTTTAAACCAAGAAATTAAAAGATATATATATTCCTGGATTTGATAATGGACTGGTTCAAGATATCCTGAGTATATCATGTGACAGGATATACACACCGAATCTGCAAGCTTTGGAGTCAAAAAGGCTGGATTCTAAATCTGTTCATATCTGAGATAACCTAGGCTAAGCAAGATATTTAAGTCCTGAGACACGGGATAATACCTATGCCCTCTAGTGTTGTATGTACAGGACCCAAAACCATTAACACCAGCAGGTAACTGCCAGGTCAGTGAACATTAGTTCCTTCCTCCTAGCCACATATCAAACTGGGAGTCTGACAACCCTCTCCAGATTTTACATTAACCCCTAATCTTTGAAGCCAGGCATTCTGTCACTAGGAAACACGGTTGTATAATGTACCCCATTCTCTTGTCTACCTATCATGGGCCTACTAATCAAGAATGACACAGTAACTTTTCTAAAGTGATGTTCATATATATTCTGAGAAAATGAGTTTTACAACTAAAGTTCTTATTGTATAAAAATTCAGGATACGCACACAAATACCAATATGTATATATAAACATAGTTTTGACTTGAAACTCACCTCTTTCAAACTCAAAGCTATCATTCTTAGTTCTAGAATAATAAGTCTATCACGCTACCCACTTAAGACGTCTCTTAAATCCTATAAATCACTTACTAGTCTGTCTATCCAAATGAAAGCACCTGTTTGTTTCCAGTCAGTTCTCACTTCTGAGTCCATGAAGCCACTTTTAATCTTGCTGGTTAAAAACAGAATCTTGATAAAGTGGCCACACATGCTGATTTGCCCAGGACAGTCCTGATTTAGGCCACCATCACCAAATAATTATTCACAGCACCCCATCCACTCGCAAGTGTCCTGGTTTGCATGATACACTATGTGGTGACTCTACACCTAGGACTCAACTTTCCCCATCTAGCAAACAAATCAGTACTTCAAGCTTACTAAATAACTGCAGGAGAGGAGTATGCACCCATGTTTGAGATAAGAAAACATCTCCCATGTCCTGAAAGATTTAGACATTTGCCACAAAAAAAAAGGTAATATAATTTTCTTTTCATTCTTATAGCCTGCTGCTTAGGATCCTCTTTTTCCCTCCCCATTTTCTAGAATCTAGATGGTAATATTTTAAAATCCCATGCATAGAACAACCTAAATATTTAACAGGGAAACATATATCTCCTCATTCACATACTATATAGTTTGAGAGTTTATATTTACAAATATTTTAACATATGGCAAAATTTTAAAAATAAAATGCTTTATGTGAAAAAGCAAGATATTATATGTACATATAGCAGAGGAAAAAATTTGAAAAGAAGTAAGGCAAAATATTAATTGTGGTGGTTAATTTCAGGTGGTGATACTAGGTGATTAAATTCTGTCTCTGTGTTTCCTAGCTTCACTGAGATGAATCTGTGTTTATACTGTTTACACTGAAATACTCTCACAGGTAGCCAAAGAATAAAATGTTCATACTAAAGCTAACTGAATATACAGGGAAATGTACCCAAACTATAATAAAGCCAAAACTGCTATACTATCTATAGGTACAGCCTGAATAACATGAGGTATTTACGGAAGGCACAGAACACCCAGGACACTTCTAGTATAAAGGGACTGTCCTTTGCTTATGCAAAGTTCTTGTAATGTCATCGGTGGCAAGAGAGTTCTAGAGTTCAAGGTGGTGTTAGAGTAATGGTTCTTACCCAGGTTTAAGCTTGAAGAGGATCCATGTGAAGAGAGGGAAGGAGGTGGTGTCTGTGAATGTCCTGGTCCCTGACTAGGGAGAGGCATGCCCACGGGTCCAGGAGAGGAGGAAAAGCTAAGGCCGTTATAAAAACTGTGTCCAATGGGGGTCAAGCTGCTCGATGTCCTCTTATAAAGGTCACTGCTGCCAGTCAGGGAGTCACGGCGGGAGCCACTGCCAGTGTTGGAGTTTGCAACTAAAATGGAATTAAAACAATGCAGATAAGAACAGGCCTGTTCTTCGAAGAACAAGCCCAGTGACCTGTTCCTAACACTTTGATCCAGACTCCTTACCACCGCAAATTTGTCAGCAGAGACAGCCTAACTGATAATGTAGCAGTTCTGGGGCAGATAAAGTAATAAAGAGGACATGGCTCAGGTTAACATGACCATCACACGTATGCCAAATTTACCTTCCTATGGTGTCATATATTATAGGATAAGGGAGGGTTAAAAAGCTCTGACGGCCATATGAGCTATGGAAAAGGTGAAAGGAAATGGACTAGAAGAATGCCTTTCATCAACTGAAAAGGTTCAAGTAGAAAAATGGGATACAGAAAAAAGATTTGTCAATGGGGTACTGCCCCACTACACAAGACTTATATATGAAAGCCTGTTTTCTCAGTGGGTTCAATCGAGAGTTAATGCTGCCCTCAATTCCAATTAAGATACTTTCTTTCATACATGACCTTCTAGTTAGGGATCTTTTTTTTTTTGTTTTTTGTTTTCTACAATCTCTGCAATTATCCCATTATTCACCATACTACACTCCTGCTTTATTCATCAAAACATTAAAACCCAGCTTGGTCTAATATCCTTCCTCATAATTTTCTACATGTCTACCTTAAATGCTACTCAAAACACAGAAGAAAAGTTGTAACTCTTTCAGGTCTGCAGGCCAAGCACTCGGCTCAATCTCAATTGTGAAGTATTCAGCTCTGCTATCTTTAGTAAGTCCTCCTCCCTCAGTTTTTGATATCCATTTCTATAGTTCTCTCCATATTTTTCCCAATTACAGCAAAATCTTCCCTAGATTTCAAACCCCTGAAAGAAACTGATTAAGTAAGTAGCCACATGAGCATGGATTGAAATAGGTACCATCTGGATAACTTGATTTCAATAGTCTAGCATTCTCACAGATTATGTGGGATGGCCAGGTTCCCACAGGGCTTGGTCCAGATCTGCCTGTGGTTCCATGCACTGCCAGTATTCCAGAAGAATTGTAAAAATAATTAAAATTCAGTCTTAAGAGCATATCAGTCTAATTTCTACCTGCTGTTCCAAACCCTCCAAGGGCAGATCCCAGGGTGGCGCCGAGAGAACTGCTACTTCCGAATCCCAAGGATGTGTTGGCAGGTTGGGCAGAGCCCTGGGAGAAGAGGGAGCTGCTCTGTGAATTGCTATTCAGAGAGTTGTTGCCGTAGAAAGAACTGGATGCCAGGTTGTTACTGGGCTGCTGCTGGGGCTGGGGCTGAGGTTGCTGTGTTCCTAAGGGGCGAAATGGTCCATTTGTTGTTCCAGCAAGACCACCAGCTGCTCCATTTGCTGAAGCTGCGGCTGCTGCAACAGCTATGAAGAAGAAAGCAAACCGTTTGGCTATGAAAGGGACTGGCCACATTTCCAAACTACATTTTTATCTTTTTTCAAAAAACCTTTTAATGCTCCCTAGCTTTTCAAAACAGACACAAACTATACAAATCTGTCTTTGATCCCTTCATATGAAGCTTCTATTTTCTGTTTCTACTTTCAATTTGAAGTCAAAATACCACTAGAACAAGTTCACAATGCTGGTAGCTTTATAACGTCTATAGATTAAAGGGGATATAAACATCAAATGTGCCCATTAAATACAACTACTTCCTAAAATCTTAAATTCCATAAATACCTATGTTGAGGGTTTCTTCTAGAACCACATAATGCATATATACACATCCTTCAAAATCCTATTTTGACACACTGCTGTGTTCTAAATGTTGCTGTTATTGTTCCTAATTTAAATATATACATGTGTATATGTATATGTGTGTATGTGTATAAATATATATATATGGGCTTAAAGTAAAAAACTATTACTCCTAGCAGGGCATGGTGGCTCACACCTGTAATCTTAACACTTCTGGAGGCCAAGGCGGGCAGATCACAAGGTCACGAGTTCAAGACCAGCCTGACCAACATGGTGAAACCCCATCTCTACCAAAAGTACAAAAGTTGGCCGGGCATGGTGGTGTATGCCTATGATCCCAGCTACTCAGTATGCCCTGGCAGGAGAATCACTTTAACCTGGGAGACGGAGGTTGCAGTGAGCCGAGATCGTGCCACTGCACTTCAGCCTGGGTAACAGAGACTCTGACTCTAAAAAAAAAAAAAAAGAAAAACCCAACACTATTCCCCCGAACCAAATGTATTATTCTGTCACTTCTCATTACTCTTTCCCACTCTATTCCTCCACTCTTGCCCCTGTGGCAAAAAAAAAACAACCACTCCTCTAAAATTATCTTAAAATAATGATTTGGATTTCTGTGAAATCAGCCTTGAATTTCTGCCAAGAAAGCCATTTTGTGTGAGTAATCCAATTTCTATTTTCTCAGTGGAGCCGGACCTTGCTTCTAACCAACTGGCACATGCTGCCTTTCAACCCCCAACAAAAAGGAGAATCCACCAGGGTCACTTATTGCTTCTGATCTCTTTTTGAAACATTACAGGGTAGAACTGATATACTGAGAATTGCCAAAAGTGTATTTCAACATACTTTAAGAATATCACTATCAGTCGCCACTTTTAGATCTCTGGCAGGAGTCCACTCAGATGTACGCTCACCTGCTTGTGCAGCTGAGGAACTAATGATGACTGGGGCAGGAGCTACAAGTCGAACGGGAGCTCCAAGACCATTTCTCGCGCCCGCATTCACTACAAGGGCACCAGTTTGGTCATAGTAAGCAGCAGGAGCCAACACCGGATAACCTAGGAATATCAAGCCAACATAGAAATGTAATATTAAACAAACAAGTATCTCCTGGGTACCAACATATTTTCAATAATCACAAGCTTAGCTTTGGGGCTAGATTGACCTAGATTTATATGCTGGCTTCATCACTTAAATAGTTGAATAAACAAACAGAGGCTACAAATGGTTGTAAAAATCACAGTACTTTCATACTACATAGCAATCTAAAAACAAATATACTGCAAAATAGCAGGAAAAACCTAAGTAGGCTTTAAATAACATGATCTTTCAATATTATGTGAGATAGAATCTCCAAATCCCAGTTTAAGCCATAAGAAAAACTGCAGGTGACTTCCTAAGAACACACAAAGGCTTAGTAACTAAAAAACAAATGAAACAAGTTATAGTTATTCACTGAATTCATAAACGGCTCCGTTAAACTGGCTATGCTCTATGATCAGTAAAAAATACAGTGACATCTCTCAAAGATGTTTCATATGTAGAACATCAAATTACATCCAATCCCAAGTAAAGCACTGAACCAGCTGATAATGAACTAAAAACGATATATATTCAAGATACATCTATATAAACATGTATCTCAGAGGTATGCAGTTAAAAAGGACCCCTAATATTAGTTTAACAGAAACCCTAAAAATGTAAGGGATGACCCAATCAAGGTATACCAGAAATTTCTCCCTAATCATGCTGTTCAAAAATATCATCATAAAGCCTTATAAACTAACTTGGCCACGCCACCTATCCTTAATTATGAGACGGAAAACAGATAACCCACCAAGGAAAAACACATATTCCAAGCTGCATGGACACTGAGATATCTCCAATGTGGCTTAAGACTGGCTCAGAGCAATGCTCTCATCAATGAACTATAGTCTAAGTGAGGGCAAGAGTGTATCATCCTTGCCAGTACCCAAACCATGACAAACCTAAGCAAGGTGAAAGCACTGCTCATTTCCCTCTGTATCACCTTAAACATGCAGCCTTCCCCCCACCCCCCGCCGCCAAAGAATTAGGAATAACATTCAATCTTTCTCCCCCTGCCCCACCCATGCCACAAAGAATTAGGAATAACAATGCAGCCGCACCTGGCATGCCTGCAGCCAGACCTTGTCCAAATGCAAGGGCAGAATTTACTGCTGCAGCTGCCACAAGGGGATCTGTTTGCTGTCCCTGCTGGTTCTGGTTTGGGGTTAAAGGACGTTGGCTGGCTCCTCCACGGAGAACCTGGGAAAGGAAGACAGAAATAAGTCGCCCACTTTCTTTTCATTGCAGAAGACCTACCACATGCTCAGGTTGGGTCAACTTTTAAAACTTAATTTTAAAACATTTCACTATAATGGTTTTTATATGTCATGGCTGTTAGGGTAAAAATTCAATTAATAACATTTCATAGAATGAAACTTTATTCTACCATTCTTACTTTAAACATATTACCTTTATAAGCAGCAAAAAGCACCATAAAATAGTGATGATTCAGTAATTCAAACATTTTATCTCATCTGCCTCATAAAGTTCTTGTGGCAATTAAGTTAAAAGATGAATTTTAAATATCTGGCATCAGCAAATGGTAGTGTTATCAAATATTTAATGCCTACCACATGGCAAATGGGCAGACAAGATGGAGCAATGAACAAGACCGACAAAGCCCCTGCCCTCATGGAGTTTTTATTCTAATGAGTAAGAAAGACAATAAACCATACTACGCAATGTCAGTGCTCTGACAAAAAAATAGGTGAAGAAAAACAAAAGAGTTCAACAGGCCAGGTGCGGTGGCTCATACCTGCAATCCCAGCACTTTGGGAGGCTGAGGCAGGTAGATCACCTGAGGTCAGGAGTTCAAGACCAGCCTGGCCAACATGGTGAAACCCCGTCTCTACTAAAAATACAAAAATTAGCTGGGCATGGTGACAGGCGCCTATAATCCCAGCTATTGGAGAGACTGAGACAGGAGAATCGCTTGAACCTGAGGGGCGGAGGTTGCAGTTAGTTGAGATCCAGCCAATTCACTCCAGCCTGGGGGAAAGAGTTAAGCTCCCTCTCCAAAAAATAAAAAAGAGGACTATTAACCAAGTGTGGGGGTGGAGGTTCCAGATAGGATGAACAGGGGTATTCACCCACATATTTAAAGTTAACTGAGTCTCACATGCACACAAAAGATGGAATGAGAATATTTCATCTTTAACACTAATATATTTATCAAGGCCCACATGGCCGCAAATGAGTTCACCAGATTCTATTTGGTAGGGCCTCACCTGACTGTTTCTATTTCCCTTCACAAATTCCACAAACATGCTCATCTAAATGGTCGTGAGCATTAGTCAAGTTCAGTGCAGATGCCAGTTAAGCCACTGTAATAAAGGATCTACTTTTTTGGGGAGCAGGGAAAAGACAGGGCCACGCTCTGCTGCTCACGCTGGTGTGTAGCGGCGCAGTCTCAGCTCACTGTAACCTCTGCCTCCCAGGCTCAAGAGATGTTCCTACCTCTCCTGAATAGCTGGTACTACAGGTGTACACCACCACCCCCCTGGCTAATTTTTCTATTTTTTGTAGAGAGAGGGTCTCACCATGTTGTTCAGGCTAATCTCTAACTCCTGGGCACAAGTAATCCACCTGCCTTGGCCTCCCAAAGTGTTGGGATTATAAAAGTCAGCCACTGAGCCCAGCCAAAGATCTACTTTTTACTAATGAAACACAGCCAATCATTATTATTCGGCATAATGTGAAGAATTATCTCACAAGATCTACATACTCTAGAAAGCAAAAATACAAAACCCACAAACCAAGTTAAAATTACTGAAGTTCCTAACAGTGTGTTTTGCCATACTGTCAAGTGCACCGTTCTTAATCAGATCACTTTCAATTCTACTGTGCTATTTATAGAAGTTAGATATACGGTCAAGAAAATGGGTACAGATTATTCTTGGTACCAGCGGTAAAAAAAAAAAATGTAAAAAGAAAAACCAATTACCAATTAAATATTGTTAAGTGAGTATAAGGTGAGCAACACTGTCCACACTGGCAAGAGGAGATGTGTGGACACTTAATTTGCCCACTCTTTTACTTCTTTATCAGTAATAAGAATTAACCAATAATCTTGCAGATTTGCTGGAAATATCTGAAATGATGTCTTTAAGTCACACTGCCTGATACCTAGGAGACAATCAATAACCAACAGCAAATTCCTATTATCAAGATATTATATAATTTGTTTCTGACCTAAAGAACCTAACCAACTTCGTGAGAGAAAGTGTGTTCCAAACTACATAGATGGAAGAGTTGGGGGGCTGGACAGGTGAGTTTTGCCAAATACTTAGAACGTACGTGTCCAATAACTCACAAGAGATCTCACTCTAGGATAAGTAAATAACATGCACAGAAATATGACAATACTCGTAGTTCAAAACTGCTCAAGATTTTAAAAAGCAATGAAAGCACTGCTTTCATAGGACATAAAGATGTAGGTTTATGTGTGATTAGGTGTTCTGTGAAAGGGCAGGAGTGGTAGAGTAAACAAGGTACCTAAAGAAAGACACAAAGTCTACTGATGAGTCTTGTAACAAGAAAGAAAAAGTGTTAGCTTTTTGTCCACTCTCTAGAAATCTGTCCAGTACCCCAACAACAAATAAAAGTGCTTCAGCTACCTGCCAATATTCATATACTTTCATCAATAGCTGTTAAATCCATGATTTTATGGAAACAAAATATACAATTTCACAAGTAATATTTTAAAGTCTAATAAAATCTACAAAATGACTGACTGAATTTATAAAAACCATCCTAGAACAGTTAGCTTGCCTAGAACGCAACATATACTTTCTGATAAAATAAGAGGGCCCGAAAGGGCCAACAACAAAGTTTAAAAAGAACCTCTCATTTTAATTACTGTGACAAAAGAGTTTACCAAGAAAACCATATTTTCCTCAAATACTTAAAACCAGAAACTGGCACCCCCAAAAAAGGAACTAAAACAATGACTGCTTGTTAAAAACTAATGCTAAAAACTTCTTAGTAGAGTTTGACAGAACCTGTAGGGCATGACAGAAAACTGAAAAGTTAATGATTATCATGTCCATTTTATAACAAAAATATATGCATTCAGAGAAGCCATCCAACTTGCCCTAGTTGTAGCTAGTTAATGGCAGAAGACAAGAGCTCTGCTTTTCTTTAAGATATCACAATATGGTCAGAAAACAAGTTGTCAAGACAAAGGCTTATGTTCAAATCTTAACAACTTTGTATGTGTGTGACCCTGGGCATACAAATTCTATTTCCTCAATTTCCTCTGAATTATGAAATTCTATTCCATAAAATGAGAAGTTGTACATCTATAATAATTAGTAAGAGAAATAGAAATTATATGTACAGCACTTAACTTTGTACAGTAAGCTTTCTATAAGTGGTAGTTATTAGTATTATTCTTGTTCATTGTATCAGAGCTAATTTCAAAACACGGCAATTACCTTAGTCTTTCAAATGCATGATAATTTGACAACCATTTAAACAAAAGATGATCACACAAAGAAATGCACACTTAGCCACAAACAGCAGATCTTAAGAAATTATTTGCTAGGTGCAGTAGCTCACATCTGTAATCCCAGCACTCTGGGAGGCCAAGGTGGGCGGAACACTTGAGGTCAGGAGTTCAAAACCAGCCTGGACAACATGGTGAAACCCCATTACTACTAAAAATACAAAAACAGTAGCATGTGCCTGTAATCCCAGCTACTAGGGAAGCTGAGGCAGGAGAATCACTTGAACCTGAGAGGTAAAGGTTACAATGAGCAAAGATGCACCACTGCACTCTAGCCTGGATGACAGAGAAAGACTACGTTTAAAAAAAAAAAGAGAAAAAGTACGAAAGAAAAAAAGAAATTTATTTAACAGGTCAGGCGCAATAGTTCACGCCTATAATCCCAGCACTTTGGGAGGCCAAGACAGGCAGATCACTGGAGGTCAGGCGTTCGAGACCAGCTGGGCCAACATGGTGAAACCCCATCTCCACTAAAAATACAAAAATTAGCCAAGTGTGGTGGCACACACCTTTAATCCCAGCTACTCAGAAGGCTGAGGCAGGAGAATCACTTGAACTCAGAAGGCGGAGGTTGCAGTAACTGAGCTCACGCCACTGCACTCCAAGCTGGGCAACAGAGCTAGACTCCATCTCAAAAAGCAAACAAAAAAATGAATTTAACAGATCACTCATTCTGTCAGCAAATTATTTACTTATATATATGGTATGAGAACTGCACCTGTTGCCAAGAAAATCATTTAATAGTTTCCAAATAAGAGGGAGAATTTCAAGACCTGTGGAATCTTAAAAAAAAAAAAAAAAAATACACCCACTGAGTAAGACTGATGTCAAGCAAAAAATTCTTGTTTGGATTATGTAATATATATAAGCAGGGTATTTTGCCTCAAATGATAGCTTTTATCTGACAATGCGTATCGAAGCCTAAATGCTGATTTCATTTGCGCCAGAAAAATTCCATTACTAGGAATTTTTTCCAAGGATACGCTTATGTAAAGGACGTTTATCAGTCTCATTCAAAACACCAAAATACTGATATAAATGAAGTATCAAATATAATAGACTAGTCAAAAAAAAGTATCCTTTGATGGATTTAAATGTATCTAGTAAAGACATCATTTAAAAGAACACCAGGCTGGGCACAGTGGCTCACTCCTGTAATCCCCATACTTTGAGAGGCTGAGGTGGGTGGATCACGAGGTCAGGGGACCAAGACTCTCCTGGCCAACATGGTGAAACCCCATCTCTACTAAAAATACAAAAATTAGCTGGGCATGGTGGTGTGCGCCTGTAGTCCCAGCTACTCAGGAGGCTGAGGCAGGAGAACTGTTTGAACCTGGGAGGCAGAGGTTACAGTGATCCGAGATTGCGCCACTGCACTCCAGTCTGGACAGAGTGAGACTCTGTCTCAAAAAACACAAAAACACCCTGCTAAATAACACAGTAAACTATGAAATCAGAATGTAAAACCAGGTGGACAGAATAATGCCAATTTTGTAAAATATTAAGTAATAAGGCTAAAATAACAGATGCCAAACATATTAACACTGGTTTTCTGACATAAGGATTTAGGGTGTGTT